AAAATGACCTTATTTGATAATTAATTTTAAAATTTAAGAAAGAGAATTAAATCTGTGCTTATTTTAAACGTTAGATTTTGTTAAAAGAAGTATAAGATAAAAAAAAGTTTTAATTCAAAAATATTTAAAAGTGAGACAAATTTAATTGGCATAAATAAAATAAAACTTGATAATAAAATCATAAATAATTTAAATAAAATTATCTGCTTAAATTTATTTTGATCACTAAGTAGCCTTCTTGCTTTTTTTATTTTAATTTGTCAGAATTTATCTGATAGATCTACTTGTGATTTTATAAAAAAGTAAGGTCTTTTAATATTTTTGCTTTAAATTAATAAAATTTGATTAAGATTTTTGAATTGAAAAAAAAGAAAGAAATAGAAGCTTTAGAAGCGCAAAACATTCATTTTTTTACTTAGAATGTTTTCGAAAATGTTTAAAAAAAATTTATTTACTCATAGTCTTCATTTTTTATGTTCAAAATTTGAGAAAAGGCATTCAATTTTAAAAATTTAATAAAAATAAGTTGATAAAAAAAATTAAAAAATAGAAAGTCTAAAATTAGCTTAAAATCATAAAATTTAAATCAAATATCACCATTTGTACCTACACAGTTCGTGATATTTTAAATACAGGATTATCAATATTAAAATTTAATTTTTTGGTTAAAATTTTCTAATTTATACTTAAAAATAAAAATGTTTAAACTATATAAATAGATATTTCAAAATATACAATTATTTTTAAATTAGTTATAACTAGATCTGATTAATCGTTTTAAAATTGTAGTGATAGCAATATTTGTTAACCTTTGTGCTCTTAAATAAATGATTCTTCTGTTTGTAAATGCGAGTTAGCTGGTTATGATGGGTACTGTAAATGTAAATAAGGCTATTACAAAGATCCTACTTTAGGTTGCTAGAAATGTCCTTATTTTTGCCAAACATGCGATTAAAGTAATTATTGCACATCTTGCCCTCAAGCTTCTAACAGAATGCAAATAACTGATTCTAATGTATGTGCTTGTTTAAATGGCTATCAAGATGATTAAAATTTATAAATATGTTATAAATGTGATGATTCTTGTTTGACCTGTAATGGCCCAAATAATAATAATTGGTAAAATAATTTAGCATATTAAATTACTTAAATTTTTTTAGTTTAACATGTAAGTATCCTCACACATAAATTTAAAATGGAGTATGTTAGTGTCTTCCAAGATATTATAAAACAAGTAGTAATTAATGCTCTTAATGTAATCCTTCCTGTTTAACATGCTCTGATGGGTCTTTAAATGGTTGTCTCACATGTAACTAAGATAATAATTTTATTAAATCTAGCTTAATTTCCTTATCCTCTTCATGTATCTGTAAAGATAATTATTACTAAAGCAGCGATTTA